TTTTCAGTCTGTGCAACAGCTTAAAATAGGCTTATTACACTGTGTGTGTATAAATCTCACGGCTTGTAAGTCTCATTCATAGAAAAGTAACTTAAGGAAGGAAATTCCTTGTTCAGAGCAACAATATTTTACATTCATAGTCCCATTACCACCGGCTTTTCTATTTCTACCAGTACAGTTCCTTAGTCATGTTTATGTAACATAACCCATGTACAACCTTGGTCCAGGCCCCAAAGCAAGCTTAATAACAAGAGCAGTGTGATAAATGTTATCAAACTGCAGCCCGCAAGTGTGCCCTTTATTGTGTGAATCAGCAATGCATCACACAATATTTCGATTTCACGCTTTTATACTAGCAACAGCAAAAAGAAAACTTAACCGTTACGCACTGTCTAAGTTTCTCCCCTGCTTAAATATAGACCAATTAGCACGGGCATCCCGAGGCCGGGTGTAACCTGGAGCGGAGACCGGGTGACTCCCCCACCGTGACGTCATTGCGTGTACGCTTGGCGTCATGGCGCATGCACGGTACTCTAAATGACGCCTGCCGGCAGAGAGGAAGGGACGTTCAGCCGGCAGGATGAGGTATGCCGCCGGAACCCCTCCTCTCTCCTGATACTGTCTGGCTCTCGATCCATGACCGAGTGCCTGACTTTTTAGAGGGAGTGACACAAAATGACTGTCAGTCATTTTAGTTTCACCCCTCCAACCCCCCGCACCCTCCTTGTGACGCCACTGCCAATTAGGAAGTACAAGTCTTCCAACACATGGCTGACATATGTAGCAGTAACATCCCTCCCCCAAAACAGACACACATTTCATTTTTGGAAGTCTGATTACTAACAGGCTCTTGCAGAAACTAAGCTCCATAGCTCTTCACAAGTTCAGCTACATAAAATGTCTGCTACACATAATTCAGCAGGGAGGTTTTATAGGACAAGCCAGCAAATCAACAGCCGTTGGTGAGTTTACATCATCTGTTGCAAATACTAGGTTGTTGAGAAGCGGATACCTATCCTTAGTAATGGCTCAATGAGTGAAAGCAGCAGTTGGATACATAGGGAAAGTCTGAACGCTTGATAGGACCTGGAAGGCTACTAAAGGACACCAGCTTTGTTCAGCATCTACATTTATTCTAGCATTGCTCAACCACTCGTATCTTTTCTTGCAATGTGCCAACCAAGCTCACTTTTTTTTAAATGTGCTTTACTAGGTTACAATTTACATTAAATGGGAATGTGTGGACGTTTTCATGAGTTGCATCCTCACTCTATAAGGTTTATATTGGTCCCATAAACAATGTTCCAATCCAAGGAGAATACTATTAAATTGAGCAAACATGTTACACTTTTGTTTTCTACCTAACTAGGCTGCGTGCCAGCAGAGGAAAAAGTTTTACTGCCGTAAAATGAGCTGGCCAAATAAAAAAATAAAGCTGCACTAGTCGTAAAAATGCAACTGAAGCCAAAACTTTTTTTAGTTTTGGATACTGGGGAGAGATTAGAACACCTGCCAGGTTTTTATTGTTGTGTGCCCCTGCTAGAGAGGGACATTTTCCATTGACGACACTAGTTCTGGTGACCATTAGGGCTTTCTCCAACTTCCTGTTCTTGCTATTGCAGAGGAAGCGAAAGGAAATATACCCAATGGGACACAGATAAGAAAAAAAAGCATACAGGGTCATAACCCTCCCTTACTCTATCCAAAACGTAAAGTGTATTTTTTCTTTTGCAGTCAAATTTGAGAAAACTCCACTATATGTTTGTTGTATGTTCCAATTCACACAGCAGAACGAAAACTAAATAACACTTATCTTTTAGATGTTTTGTTGCAGCAGGCAACGTGGCTGAATCAGGGTTTTTCTGAGCACCTGTGATCTGTCCTTATAGAGAGGAGTTGAGTACACACGGATCCTGCCGAATAAGCCAAAATTCAGCCCATTGGTGACCCTATTCCTTCTATAGAAGTTGATTAGATCAACTTTTGCAGAAGGATCAAGTTGGACATTCCTCAGCGAAACAGTGCTTTCAACCAATTAGTTGTAAGTACGGTTCCGGTTTTCTCACAGCGGCCGGTGCTGCTGTCAGAATACAAAGCTGACAGCAGGAGATCCGTCCATCCACTCCGTTCAGCATAGATGGAAGAATCTGCTATATTTTTTTCGTTCAGGCCGCAGGTTGAACAAAATAAATATGATAGTATATACCCAGCTTTAGGTCTGAAATTTGAAAATTGTGTTATTATTAATATTATACAGGATTTATACAGCGCCAACAGTTTGCGCAGCGCTTGATTTCTCTCAATAACATACAATGCAAACCCCTCACCATTCACACCCTCTCCTAACATTACAAAGACGGAGAAGCCAAGCAGAAATTTCAACCCTTAAGAAGCCAAGAAACCCTAACCCAAGTGAAGGCAATTTAAACTGGAAGAAGCATTTATTTATTTTAGCATATGCTATGCAAATGGGAACATGCAAACAAAAATATAAACATGGCGTTATCCCAATTTGGTTGCAAAAGGTGGAAATACACTTTTTAAAAAATGCCATCAGTTCTACTTTAAGGTCTTACGTATACCTTATGACCATATCAGGATTAGAGTGCTTTATGTTTTCTCTAGGACACAAGCTGGGTGGAAAGCACAACTACAGGAACTCTATTTGACTAGATCCCGATTAACTAATTTTGTATCCAAACTTGAGCATAGAGTAATTACAATGTAAACAATATCTGCTATTGTTCAAGGTGCAAAATATCAGAAACAATCACTACTTAGCCTCAAATTATACAGAAAGAGCACAGACAAAGATTGCTTTAGGGCTTTGTTAGTCTAATTAAAACCTCAGACACATCTTAAACTAATTTGCGCAGGTAAGTTTTGATTTGGCTAAACCTTTAAACCCTAATAACTGAGAAGTGATAGGAGTTTTTTATTTTTATGCACGATGCTTCTGCATCACATAACTGGATTTGGAACAAGTTTAGACCATCACACAGGAACCTTTAGAGGTCCTTTAAGTAAGAGCATGTTTTTAGTATGGCAGTGTTAACATTTGTATACTCGTCCTCCATGCACAATTATGTTTTACTCATTAATGGCTGGTGACCATAAAACCTAAACCATAATAAACAACCAATATGTGCAAAACATCACATTTACTTTATTTTACCATGATGAAAAGTCAACATGTAAAAGGTAGACCCCTTCATAATTACTAAAACAGGTTGGTTTAATTGGGAAAGACCTCATAAACCAGTGTCCCTAAAACATATTAAAGACTGGTGTGTGTTTCAATTTTCTGGCATCTTCACAAATCTTAAATACCGTTTTTCCCCGAAAATAAGACCTAGTACTATTTTAGGGAATTGCTAAAATATAAGACCTACCCCAAAAATAAGACCTAGTTGTGACCATTCCCAGGGCCGGTGGTGGCATAAGGGGGAACTTGAAGCGGCGGACATAATCAGCGGTGCCAACAAAGCCAGCGCTAGAGGAAGCGAGGCGGCAGCGGAGGGAGCAGAGCCGCGTAAGCCAATGCTTCCTCTATAGCGCCTGCTCCTGTCACAGGCCGAGTGATACCAAATGCACTCCGCCTGTGAGGAATCGATAGTGAAAGCGCACTTCGCTCATTCTGGCCAGCGATTGGTTACCAAATTGCTCTTGGAAAGGTATGGCACCCCTGATTGCCCTGATCACCCCATTCTTAACTTTGCCACTCACTCCTGTCTTGCAAGTCTTCTACCGGTATTAAGTGTAATAAGTGTGGATTGTACATTCAAAAAAAATAAGACCTACCCCGAAAATAAGACCAAGTGTGTTTTTTTGAGCCAAAAATAATATAAGTGTCTTCTTTTCGGGGAAACACAGTATCAGTTTCTACATCACTCTTTTCATTTTTAAAGATATCTGCATCATCTGTAGAGAAATGGGGCATTTTCTAACTACACCCTAAATGTCCCTGTACTAGCTTCCTCATAACATCGATTCACTGGTGCACAACAGCCAGCATAACAGTACGTTAATGATTGACCGGTCTTGGAGGTCACTATGTCAGAATAAGTGCAGATGAGAGTTGGACAGTTTTTTCACAATCAGGAGGGACACATGTGACCATACGGGTGGACACATGATATTTAATCATTTAACTACCCAAGGAATAATAAACGCAAGCCAAGAATATTCAACAGGATCAGAGTAAAAAAAAAACTGTAAAAAAAACAAAAAACAATGTGACCCTCAAGCTAAATTCTACTAAAAAGCATTGCCATTCAATACTATTTACGTGCCATAGAAGTAAGGCAATATGCTACTGTGTCTACCTGCCATGTGACTACTTTTAATGTAATAAGGGCGGTATGTATATGTACAAACAAAATAGGGTTGCCCCATGCATGTAAATAATTACATACCAGAACAAAAGGTTTCCAAAGTATTAAAGCAAACCCTAAAAACCTTATGTAAATATGCCCTGCACCATGGGTGACCTCACAACATAGAATAGAAAATAGAATAGACTCTGACCAGCATCTCCAGGTCACAAAACAGAGGCAACTTCCTACCGTCCAGATGCATCCTGGGAGGTTGACCTCAGGCTAGTGTGTCCAGCCCTAGTTTCACAGGAAACAATCTTTTATTAAACTCTACACCCCCTCCCTCCACCCCCACATCCTTATTATTATTATAATAATATGTGCTGCTTCCTCTTTTACTGTCAAGTCACAAGGCTTAGGCTGTCATGGTTCATGACAGCCTAAGCTCAGAGGAAGTAGTTTGAAGGATATTGGATGTCAGATTGAGGATGAGGACACGTAGGGGTGGAAATAAAGTGCTGCGGGGAACAGCTCTGGAATAAAAATTAGATTTTTCATTTGATCTTTTAATGGGATATTACATTTAAAAATAATTTTAAAAAAACACATTGAATTCTTTTGCCCCACCATTTTCCCTTCAAATTTCATTGACTTGACTGAACACAGGCAATTGTTGACACTTACACTGCCCAGGCCTTCATGGTGGGACAGGATGATATTGTACAGAATTCGGAGATTGAACCATACATGAGACTGACGTGGTTGTAGAATGCAGATGCTAAAAAAAACAAGAAAAAAAAACAGTTAAAATACATTAAAACAAAACTGTATATAAATCCCTATGGCCAATATCACAAATTATCTACCCCTTATAATTACCAGAACAAGGCCATATTTACTGTAACCATCTGCTGTTGTACTTGATAAGCCACAGAATCATATAAAAATGCATAGGTTTAGGGCTTGTTCACACTAACTCTGGACCAGATCTGCATGAGTTTCTGCTCCTCCTTCTGCACCTGACACCATCCTTTTTCAGCCATTGAAAGAACACAAATAAAAATCCTATTTAACCTCCTTGGCGGTAATCCCACGTGTGCCTCGGGGTTAATTTTCAGTACCATAAGTCGCAAGGGGGCGGAACCGGCGGGAATTTTAAAAGTAAAAATAACGAGGGGAAAAAACAGGAAAAAATTAAATTAAATAAATCAGACCGCCATAGAGGTCAAGGGGGAAGGATGTTTGTGAGCAAAAAAACAACAAAGTCTATGTAAGTATTATAATTCTACTTTATTTCAAGTTTAAGGCAACGTATAATGTATTTTTGATAAGCACATATTGTATTACTGTAGTGTTTACCTTAAAGCAAACCTGCAAACCTGCACTAAAATCTAAAGTAGGCAGGATAGAGCTGCACCAAGTTCCAGTACGGTTTTAGAACTGTGCTGAAATAAATATCTACTGTATCAACACTGTTTCAAAGTAGTAAGAGGCGGATTTCTATGCAGATTTTGACTTTTCTGACTAGTGAAAGTGGAGTTTGGTCCCATATACCCCCACATCCCAAAACCTCTGTTATTTATATATGCATTTATTGTAATTCATCTCACTGACTAATGGGGAAAATTGGGAGACAGGAGATACAGAATGATCACGTGAGTTCAGAAGAACACTTATAAAAGCTCCCCAAGCCAGTGAAAATAGGAGCTATTATTTACCGTTACTGGCCAGCCACTCCTCTACGTTGAGTCCTTTAGGTAACGCCACCAGCATTAATATATCAGCATCTAGTATCCGGGCAGTTGTGTATCGAGGTTCCAAGAAGAGTTTCTCCGTTTCTGCTGAGGCTTTCTTCTTTATTTTACTGCTGACATGAAAAAGAAGAGTAAGAGTCTGGGGTCAGGTAAATATAATGTTAAGGAACATACTTGTTATATAACAAAAGCAAGAATTAATTTAAGACAATACACTATTTAGGAATACACTAGAGAAGAGGTTGTCAACATACGAGGCATAGACATGCAACAGGAATGGATGAAGAATAAAGACACAGTGCAGGAGAAAGTCAAAGACAGGGGATATGCTAAAAAGAGACTTCTAGAGATCACTGCAATTACTGCCTCTTTACAAACTAATGCCCCTACTACTAACTACTGGGGTAAGCAAAAGGGGTGCACATCAATAGCAAAGGGCTGCTTGGGCACCAGGGCAGTAGAGATATCCAAGTGGGAGTGTTTTAAGTAAAACTCCTTTTTTTTCCACATTAAAAGAGATTGTTAAACTGGCTAACTCCTAATTTCCAGAAAATGCAAGGGCCTTATACTAGTAGTAGTCCTCCTATGCTAAAACGACAAATCCCCTTGACTGGCCGCTAAGGATGTTACGCAATCTCACAGCGAGATCCTAAGACAGATGAGGTTATGCACTCCTGCATTATGCTGGCTACTAACAGCAGGACACTTTAAAGTTAACCTGTCACAAGTCTGAGTAATTTGGATTAGGCAAATGTTAAAGTTAAGTCAAGTCAAATCTAGTCCTGCTGTCTCCCCAATCCTCCACTTTTGATCAATTAAAGTAAGTGGCCTTATGACTAATAGGAGATGGGAGGGGGTGAGGTCTAGTTTAAATTTTACAGGAAAGTCAAGATTTACATATACTGTAATAACGCATGTCGCTTTAGCTGCCCATTTCTCTGGATCAACTGTTCTCCTTCACATGCAACCTTTGCTAATACATTTTTTCTTTGAAATTCAGTTTTACTTGCCCTGGTTTGTAAAATAAGTAAATCATGTAAAATAGGGATGCACAGATACCGGTGCTTTAAATTTTTAAAACTTAAGCTGGCTGGGGACTCGGCCTGGCAGCTATCCTGCAAATGGCGGCGCCTGTGTACAGCGCAGGCCGCAAACCACCTCCTCCTTCCTGAAACCCCGCTGCCTGCACCCACCTGTTAGGGCTCAGTCACACTGGATGCTGTGCGTACCAGCACGATTTTGGCCAGAACGCACTGCCTTGCATTGCGGCCGGCTCACCTTTTAGTGGGGTAGGAGGGGGCGTGGCGGGCCATACAAGTGCGGTGCGATCAAAATAGTGCTTGTAGCATTTTGATCGCACAGGATCGGATCGCAGGCACCACAATGTGCCTTGCGATCCCGTGCGGCGGATCGCATTGCGGCCGGAGGGTGTGGCTACGGCGCCACTAAAAAGTGAGCCGGCTGCAATGCGAGGCAGTGCGTTCTGGCCAAAATCGGCCCGGAACGCACTGCATCTAGTGTGACTGAGCCCTTAGACCAACTGGGACCCCTGGTAAGACCTCACACAGCCCAGCCGTGACCCTGCACAGCCCTACTGGGATCCTCTGCTGGAGACATTAGGCCAGCACCCCAGAGCAGCATAGAGTATATAGCTTCATATTATTCTGCATTGCTGTATAATGCATTGCTGTGATTTGTAGTCCTCTATAGCTGACGGTATTCTGCGTTGCTGTATAATGTTTTGCTGGGATTTGTAGTCCCTCTACTGCTTGGAGTCAGTGGCAGAACTACCAGGATCACAGCTGCATTTGGCTCTGGCACTTCACCACTGTTCTAAAATAATTAGTTTTAGAAAAACTGTCACATGACACAAAAAAAAAAGTATAGGTAATTGGTATTTGGTATCGGTGAGTATCCCTAATGGAAAACTTTACTATTCTCCTTTATCTTTGGCTTTCCGTCACATTTAAGATAACACAAGATGTATCTAATCCCTTTAATAATGGGAGGCATTATGTCTGGCTTAGATGTAGATCAATTAATGTATAACTTCAGTGTACGCACCCAAGCCTGCTGCACAGCTCACTACCCTACCCTCAGTCCTATACCTCTAATTACACACAAGGCTCTCATTAAATTGAGCCTGAATCTTCGTTAACCTAATAAAAACTATTTGGGATGTCTTCTGATCCCTCACTACTCCAAAGGCTTGTCTAATGTCTGTTTACAATACCAAGACATCCACAATGAAAAAAATGGATTATTGCTGGCAGCGTTTAGTACAGAGCTGTCACCATTTCCATGTTTACAGGTTAATCCTACTTTTGGCTCCCTGGTATTCTAATTATTTTTTTATTTAGCTCACCTCAGATACGCTTTTGCTCCCTCTGCGTTACCTATCACACAATACGAAGCCTGACAGTAAGTATTAATTTTATCGATTTTGACTCAGGTCTTCTACAGACACCAGTGGGAAAAAAATTAAAAATCATTTTTTCACAAGGTCGGTATATGAATTACAGAGGCAGCTTAGCATTTATTACTGCCATTTCATTAGGGGTATATTTTTAAATGTTTTATAAGCAAGGTTTTTTTTTAAATATATAAATAATTTTAATAATTTCTGTGCTGGGATGAAAAATTGCTCCAGTAGCAAAGTGGTTAAATCATTCAGCGGATTCATTCTGCGCGGTGTGTTTAATCTGAGATCCTGCTATTCAGATCTGTATTCATAGCATAGCAGTAAACCATGACCATGTTTTTTTTTTTTTACAAGTCTATAACTTGTCTTAATAGAATCTATAAGAAAACGTTAGCAGAAACACCTATATCTGTGTCCTCACACATTCATGTTAACATACATATCTTATGTAGTCAACTAAACATCCAAGAACTATGTAATTGAGCAGGGAGACTTCTATATACATACACACACACAAAAAGGTACATATGACAATAATAGGGCTGCAACCAACTAATCGATAATGGTTGGATCTCATTATTGATTAGTTGGTTGGATCCCCTAGCTCTCTCCTCCATGCTGGGAGGAGGGCACAGAAAGCAGTGGGTGGTTCCAATAGTCAGTCTGCTGTTGGCTAGTGCACCAGCCCACTATCTGCTGTATTTACATTCAGCTGAAATCTGCGGAATCTTGCCACTGGCAACTGTCTTCCTCGGCTGAAGCTATTCAACCGCTTTCAGCTTGCAATAAAATTATTAAAAACAAATTATGAAAGGTGGGAAAAAAGTCATTTTTGGTTCCGACCTGACAAATTCTGCTGCGGGAGGTGCGTTGCAGTGCCATTCATTTCAATGATACCCCAAACGCACCTCCCACCCACAGTGTGATCGCCCATCACTGGAAAGCACGGTACCGCGATGCCATGTGTTCCAGTGCAGTGTGATAGCAAAAAATTGTGCATGTACTTTTATTCTGAAGTCAACTTTGTTGGCAACACTGCATTTGTATATTTTATTTTAAAATTAAGGATGGTATTATTTACGTTTTTTTATCAGATTAATCGAAAAAAATAAAAATCGGCCAACTAATTGATTATGAAAATAGTAATTGGTTACAGCCCTAGACAATAATAAGGATACTTACTGTTTTCCAAGTAATTTTCCAACTGCTTGGAATACCATTTTGCCTCTGGTTTCACAAAAAGTCTGATGTTCAAGCAGAATACAGCTGCTTTAATAATTGACCCCGAAACCTGATAATAAAAAACAAAAACCAGTGAGAGGTTTGTTACACCCAGTACTGTAAATTAGCATTATGAATAACAAAACAATGTTAATAGTGGTTTCCAGTTCCTGCAACCCCACCCTCACTAGTTTTAAGGGATCATGCATAAGGGTCAGTTGTGTTTTGCATCTGATGTGCATTTTCCCCAGGGCCATCACTCTTATACTGGAGATCAAAACAGACTGCGATAGTTAGAATAATGAGACTGTTCAAATAAATCGCTTGTCTATAATACAACTAGAACTAATATAGGGTTTATCTGATTGTCAAATCAACAATTGTAAGTAATAACTATTCTAACACACAATCTTTTAAACTGAAAAACAGCACTACTAGAATATAAGAATACCAATTACAGTAACATTTATAGGATAAAAGTAAACCCAGAAGATGAAGGGTAGGCCCAGTAGATGGTGCCCACCACAATAAGGCCAATGTATGCCTTAAAGCTTGACATCAGAGTGCTACACTTTGCAAATGCACGGCAAATACTAACATAATATCATATATCATTCACAATATTGCTGAAATGATCCACAATCTGCCAAGCCATATGTGATGTCAACAAATGATTTCTTGGCATGATCTTAAAGGCTGCATTGTTTGGATTTGGATTAAGATTGAGAGGATGTTGTCTGGTAGTGATTTAGCATTGAGACCTCTGATGAGATTTAGCAGATCCCAGATCATTCCAAGAGTATAGTGGATGACCGATTGAAGGTAATGCAATACATCAACTGCCATAGAGGAACATAATACTGTATAACTAGAGCACCACCACTAAGTGATGTAGCAATCTGTACTCATTTTAAATATAGGCTGTGTCTAGCCCAGAATGCTGATAGTATAGGAAACCTGTTTCTGGGACAATTTGCCCGCGCGCAGGTACTTTGAGACCACTGCTATAGATTGAACTTGATGGATTTGTATCTTTTTTCATCCTGACTAACTATGTAACAACATAAGAAACAAGAATCAACATAAACTGGCCAGATTCCTCCCTTGACCCAACATTTGTAAACATAGGCCCTAAAAAAAAACAAAAAGTAATTTTTGAAAGATATGGGACCTTGAAGGTGGCAAATTCTATGTATTAAGAAGTCCATTTGCAGAGCTAGTAGGCCATTTGAATGCGCTGAATAGCAATAAATGCAATTAACCATAATAAAGAGGAGTAAAAAGCATTATATGTACTTGACTCAAATTGCCCTAAAAATTGCATCCAACAATAGATACTGACCGGTACTGTATGTCAAACTTGCTAATTTTACAGAACCTCACTAACCTTTGCTAACAGTTCTTAAAGTCAAAACTTTTTTCTCCTCCCTAATGCTGGTATATGCACTTACCTCAAGTGATACCTCTTGATCCGATCATCTTCTTCTTTCCTGTAGTTTTCAGCAGTCCCTCCAGTGTTGGTCTCTGATCCAGCGTTGACTGCTGCGTCCCACAGAGTCTGTGCGGGGGCATGCTGCTGGGCTGCCTCCATTGACTTACCTTGTGTCTCTCCTCGTCTCCCGGCCGAAGATCTGTACTACGCAGTAGATGGCAGGCTAATCTTCAAATCTCTACATTTAGTACAGTAACAGTACCTCCTAGTAAGCAAATGATGTATATGTGGCTGTCAAGTCTTGTCTCTGTACATGGCTCTGCAGGTCAATGTGGCTAGAAGCACTTGTAAACTATTTTTAGTATTTCCATCAACATGCAAAACATTTCTGTAAAATGTATATATGCAGCATATATAAATACAGCAGGCCACGTTTGCTCTGCCTGGAATTCTTTCAAATTTACGTTCACAAAGGAAAGAGGAAGTTGTGTAGTACATTTCAGTGGTCAAGACTTCAGTATAAACAAATAGATGTGGCAATGATCACAGGAATTATAGTTATAAAAAGTTACAGTGACCTTATACTTAAATGTCAACATAAACATATCATAACAGTCGTGCTGGGATGGATAAATAAAGAGTAACAGAAGGGCTGCAGTACTTTACTGAAGAAAATACTGCTCCAGGGTCCCTCCATTCCTTTTGCATTACCAGAGATTTGGGCCATGTTATCTGTGTTGTAATGCAGATCAGTTGAGATTGCATCATTCTCCCATCCTCGGGAGAAATCATGGGGCCAAAGGCATGGGTTTTTGGCCCACATTTATTAAATTCTGCAGGTCAGCCATCATGACCACCTATAATGCAAGGACGTTAATACCGGAGTGGACAAATTATTATGGAATTCAGGAGCCAGTCTGTCCAATCCAGTAGGCAGCAGGATATTTTTTAGGAGCCAGCTCCATTGACAACTAGAGAAAACCTCAATAGTTAGCTGCCAGCTTTAATTTGTAAGAAGAAATGCCTACCTGGCCACTTGGATTTGTCCAGCCCTGCCTTAACACAAAAAAAATGTTGTTGAATCCCCTAGCTCTCTCCTCCACGCTGGGAGGAGGGCACAGTAAGCAGTAGGTGGGTGCAATAGCCAGCCTGCTATTGGCTATTGCAATTTGAAATGGCCAGTAGCAGGCTGGCTATTGCACCAGCCCACTATCGGCTGTATTTACATTCAGCTGCCGTCTGTGGAATCTTGCCACTGGCAGCCCTCATTCCCTGGCTGAAACTATTCAAGCGCCATGTGCTTACAATACAATTATAAAAAGAAAAACAAATTATAAAAAGAAAAAAGTAGGGAGAAAAAAAAATACAATTATTAAAAACAAAATTATGGAAGGTGGGAAAAAGTCATTTTCAGCCTGACAAATTCTGCTGCGGGAGGTGCGTTGCAGTGCCATTCATTTCAATGGCACCCCAAATGCGTCTCTCACCCACAGTGTGATCGCCCGCACTGGAACACACAGTACCGCAATGCCGTGCGTTCCAGTGCAGTGTGACTGCAAAAAATTGGGCATGCAGTTTTAATCTGATATAAACTTTATGTTTGTAACACTGCATTTGTGTATTTTATTTTAAATTAAGGATGGTATTTTTTTCCAAAATCCGATTAATTGAAAAAAATAATCGGCCGACTAATCGATTATAAAAATAATCATTAGCTGCAGCCCTATTGCAAACTCTGTCCCCATGCTACAAGCATCGCTCATCTATAAGGGTCCTATCTGTTCCAAACAACCAATGTGAAGCTTTGCTGTAAACATTATCCATATTCCCCAAACACCAATGCAAAGGGAGATGCCATTGTACTAAACGAGGTACTTTGAGTGAGTGATGCAACTAGTTGTTTTTAAAGAACTCTGGGCAAAATAAATATTAACCCTTTCAGTGGGGCTACCCCTGCACTGCAAGGGATAAGTGCTTTGTTTTGTCTAGGGAGCTAAAATAACAGAGGTATACTCCCCGGAGCCACAATTCAGGCTGGCTCCTAGAGCAGTGCCTGAAGCCTCGCTCCCCCTCTGCTCCTGCAGTCTAAGGTCCCATGAGTCATCACGCCCTATACAGTGTAATGGAGTTTTGCTTTATACCATGTGATGCTTTACAACCTAGCAAGTATAGCACTCATGTTAACATTTTAAGGCCTGCTGCATAACTTTGTTTTTCTTTATGGAGCATCCTTTTTGCACCTAATTTTCACTTTCAAAATGCCTAATATTGTCGATCATTACCAGTTAAAACTTTTCTAAAAGGAACAGCAGAGAATCACTTGGTCAAGGTGTCTTTAATGAAGTGCTGTGTGCTAGAACTTTAGTTATTTAACAAAGGAGGAAGAGGGAGAGCGAGGAAGAGCGGGATTAGGGATGCACTGATATCGCTTTTTCGGTATCGATATATTTTTTAAATCAGTATTCGCATATACAGAGTACCGATACCGGCATCCTGAGGTAGCATGGGCCAGGCTTCCCAGCCAAGCAGGAAGCCATATCATGACCCGCCGCCCGGCTTCCTAATTGGCCGGGAAGCTGGCTCCATGCTCCCTCGCAGCTCTGCCGGGTCAGAGGGAAATTCTCTCTGACCGGCAGTTCCCCGGTATCAGAGTAAATATTGGAGCATTTGGGCACAAGTATTAGCCCAAATGCTCTTTATCGGCACCGATACCAGTATATCACTAAAAAACAAAAATAAATATATAAATAAATATATATATATACACACACACAATGTTTTTTAACATTATCATGCCATTTTAACCTGCAAAGCAATCTTCAGAGCAAAGCAATTTTCTCTGCATTACAATCACAACACCACAACTTCCTGGAATTCTGATCCAGGTGGGAGTGTGGCTGGCTTACTGCTTCTTCTAGAAGTCATTGCAGAGCCTGCGGTCATGTTACAGGCTTTCCCTTCAATAGAAGTTTCATCTTTGGTAAGCTAATTTCCGTGAGCTTACATGTGTAAAGTGATGCCCGGCCTCCAGCTTTCTTTTTTACAACACCGAGACTGATTAGGTCATCAAGCACACCCTTCCACTTGAAGGATATGTAAATCCTAACAATGAACTTCTCTTCTTTCATCCCCTTTGGTCTGTGAAATATACCATTGACAGTGTTTGATAAAAGTAAAAATACTTGTTGATGCTGCCAGAAATTATGTTAACTCTCTGTGCTGCACAATGGGCTTAAGTTCACTTAAAGTGGAACTAAATTCATGTTTACAAAACATTGCTGGCATGCTGGTTTTTATTGGAAATAAAATAGATATCAGCGGCAGCAACAGAGTGACAAGGGAAATCACAGTCGTCTTATCACTAAGGTGGGGAGCTTTGGCAGGTAAGACTGCCACAATGTGGAAACAGGCTGTCCGTACTTGCACAATATGGCCAAGTATACAAGTCTATATACAAGTCATATACAAGTCTATGGGAATACAAAACTTGCTTGAAGGAGGTCAAACGCAGGTTTAGAAAAAATTATACTGCAGCTTGAATGTATCCATTAATGAATTCTTAAGGATCTCAGAAGAAGAAGTTAAGACTGATGTCAAAATGCCATCGAGGGGCCCTTTACA